TGAGTGAGTGAGTGCTGAGTGAGTGAGTGCTGGGTGAGTGCTGAGTGAGTGAGTGCTGAGTGAGTGAGTGCTGAGTGCTGAGTGAGTGAGTGCTGAGTGCTGAGTGAGTGAGTGCTGAGTGCTGAGTGCTGGGTGAGTGCTGAGTGAGTGAGTGCTGAGTGAGTGCTGAGTGCTGAGTGCTGGGTGAGTGCTGAGTGAGTGAGTGCTGAGTGAATGAGTGAGTGAGTGCTGAGTGAGTGTTGAGTGCTGAGTGCTGAGTGAATGAGTGCTGAGTGTTGAGTGCTGAGTGAGTGAGTGCTGAGTGACTGAGTGAGTGACCACATAAGTGATGAATGTTGAGTGAGTGAGAGATGAATCCATGAATAAGCAAGTTAGTCAATGAGTGAGTGAGCACTCCATGCCACCGAGGCCACACGCCCACCCTGGTCATCCTCCCGCCCTGGTCCTCCTCGCTGCCTGGAGCCCTCTTGGAGCAGCATCAGAGAACTTGACTGACAGACGGCAGCCAGCAGAGCTGAGAGTCAGCTCTGAAGTCTGCCTTCTCCTCGGATGCAGCGCCGTCCGGCAGAGCATGCTGGACGTTAGCTCTAGAGTGCTAGAGCCCTATCCACTAGAACCGGCTAGAAAACAAGATCAGCTCTGTGTGATCGAACATTCTGGACTTAAACACGAAGAGCAGCGCTTTCCAGCAGAACCTTCTAGACAAACAAGGCCAGCACAGTCTAATAGAACTGTATAGATTTAAACTCAAAACCCAGTGATGGCTAATAGAATTTTCCAGATGAAATATGAAGACCAGTGCAACCTACTAGAACTTGCTAGACTTAAACATCCGGGCCAGCACGGACCAGTGTTTTCTGAGATACTGGAATGTTCTAGATTGTCACTATCAGCTGGGAGTCACTAGCGCTAGGTGGCAGCTAAGCCTCTGAAATGTGGCCAGTGTGACTAAACAGGGCTCGCTCGTCCCGTTGATCTGTTGTGTGTGCATTTGCCTGGTGGCCACCTTGTTGGCTCTGCCCTGGGTGGCTGGTGTCCCGTCTTCCCTGGCCTCAAAGCCCTCATCTGAGAGAGTACCCTGAAGACTTGGATGGTGAGGGGCTGACTTCTTGGGGTTCTTCACTGATGCTCAGGGGTTAGAGGAACAAGCCCAGGATGCCCCCTGCTCTCTGGGGGGACTGACAGCGTCTGAAGCACACCAATGAGGGGAGGGCATACCTCCTCCTGGGTCACAGCTGAGTCCTGAGCTTGGGAACACTCAGCACTGAAATTCAAGCCAGAACAGAAGAGGTGATGGGACATGGCTGACATCAGGTGGATCTTGGCTGTAAACAGAATACCAAACAATGTCCCCTTAGGCTTTAGGCTTTATTGATTATTCAAAGGCATTTAACTGCGTGAATCACACAAATTACGAGTAATAATGCAAAGAATGGTGATTCTGAGACTTTCTGTGCTCATGTGAAATTGGTTCAGAAGCAGTTTTTCCAAATAGAACAAGAGGTTTCATCAGCAGAAGTGTGGATCAGGGCTGTGTCTCTTCACGGTCCCTGTTCAGTCTGTCCGCTTAGCAAATAATCAAGATGGGCTCTGAATGGCATCAAGGTTGGAGAAGACGCAAGAGCGTGTGGTGGGCAGGAGCCTTGCACACTGAAAGTGAAGAGCCCTCAAAGCCTTCAGGGTAAACTGCACCTCAGCGTGAGGACACGAACGTCATCTCCAGGGAGCAGTGAGCAACATTATGACAGACGGAGAGCTGGTGTCGCTGAGGATTTCATTCTACTTGAGTCGATACCACGGAAGCAGAGCGATAGCACCGAGGTCAAATGACGGTTGTAGGCAGACCTGCCGTGGAGGCCTCTTAACTTGGCACAAAGCACAAATGTCGCTCCGAGGACGGAGGTGCCCCTGCTCCCTGCCACGGGGCTTGGAATTGCCTGGTATCCACACAGAAGCGGAGCAGTGTGTGAGAAGCCCAGAGAAGAGTTAGTGCCCTTGACTTAGGTGTTGGTGAAAAATGTGAACATATTGCGGCTCTGGTGGCCTAGTGGCAAGAAGCTTTATAGCAATCCCGAAGGCACTGGTTCGATTCCACCAGCTGCTCTGTGGGAGAAAGCTGGTAAATCTCCCATGCAATTAACTGCCTCTGAAAACCTGCCAGAGGGTCAGTTAACAACACACAACATTTCCCTGGAGAAGGACATCATGCTTGGTCCAGTGGAGGGTCATTGAAAACAAGACCCTCATTGCGATGGGCTGATACGGTGGTTGTGACCTTGGACTCAAACATGGCCATGGTTGTCAGCACGGTCAAGGACCGAGCAGCGTCTGTTGTCCATGTTGTCACAGTGGGTCAGAACCAAATAATGACACTTGACAACAATGGCTGGACCAGGACCTGAGTAGGGGTCAGAGGCAGCACGACTGTCCCTGCCTGCTGCCCTTGGATGGGCAGGGTCTTAGTTAAGTGACAGCCCACCTTTGCTGTAGGGCCCACTTCTGCGCCTCAGTTTCCTTTCATATCAGACCAGGTATTAAGCCCTGGCTGCCTCTACCTGCTCTGGAGCCCGAGGACAGTGTGAGGCCTTTCACTGCTAAGGTGTCTTGTCTCTGTGGTTCTGCAGGTAGGCAGGGGACTGGGGAGCTACACTTGGGGGACCTGTCAGGCAACCACTTCACCAGTATTCAACAGAAGTCCCTGAGCTTCCTGGAGACAATGAAGGTATGTCTGAACGTGGGGGTGAGCTGAAGGTGTGTCCCGAGGCAGCCGGCCTCTCGCTCGAGGGTGGCAGCTGGCCTCCAGAGTGCTCAGGCAACTTCTGTACAGCAGGAGCAGGTGAAGCAGTTGGTGACGCTGGCCCTTCTGCGGCAGCGGGCTGAGAATGAGGTCCTGGAGATGCAGGCAGCCCTGGACCCGCCCCATCTACAGGTCAGTGACCCCCAGGGCCCCACAGCCTCCCCTCTACATTCTCTGCCCCATGGCTGCCTTGCTAGGAGGGTTCAGCCAAGCCTGGGGGGTGCGGAGGATGCACAACACAGAAGGAACCAGAGGCTGGTGGGGTGTCCTGGGGAGCCTGGAAGGACCAGGCACAGACTCGACCTCCAGTCCCATGGGCACATGAAAGGGGCTTCGCAGCTGGAGCAGGTACAGCTGTCCAGAGCTCACACCTGGCACGTCCCTGGCTGCAAAGGAGACTGGGTTCTCTGAGTTGACACACATGTGTGAGCTCTGTACGCTTATGTGTGCACGCGTGTGCTCATCCGTGAGGGCACAGCCTCTCCTGCTGCCCTGCCCTCGTTCTGGAGGTCAGCCGGATGGCCCAGCAGTTCTGGTCCCCAGGTGCCCATCTCACAGTGGCCCCCACCATTCCTGTTCTCTGTGGCCATGATGTCCTCCTGTCCAGGAGCAGGGAAGGTGCAGTCAGCCCCAGTTAGAGGGTGGAGAGAAGCACCAACGGTGATTGTCACCACCCAGCCAGTGTCACATGGCACCAACGGTGATTGTCACCACTCACCACCCAGTATCACATGGCACGTGTCCTGTCCCCACAGCCGCGTATAGACACACACTCCACCCAGGCCAGGTCAGAGAAGATATCAGTGCTGGAGCAGCCACAGGCTTGTGGGGACCTGGACACTCCATCTGTTTCCCCAGGTGAGTGTCCTCCAGCCTCCCCAAGGGCCCTTCTTGAAATTCTTCCTCTCTGACTGACCTGGCAGCAGGCATCCGGGGCCTGAGCCAGGCACAGGGATGGGGTGACCAGCCCAGTGTGACCTGGATGAGGGTCCAGCTGGGATTTGCACCTTAGAGAGTCTGGACATGAGAGATGATGGTGCATTGGAGTAAGTATTGGACTGCTAGCTGAAAAGTTAGTTGTTTGACCTCCTGCTTTGCCAGATAAGGAGGAGGCATTCTCCTCTCATTAAGATTTACAGCCTTGAAAATGCACATCTGACTGCAGCAAGAAAGCTGTAGGTTAGACTGTAAACTCCCCTCCCCTGTCTCACTTCCTAGAAAGGAAGAGCTGTCCAGCCCTGTGTCCCCTGCTCCTCCTCCCCCACTGTTGACCTTCAGGGGGCTGTCACCTCCTCCTAAAACTCTGGTCCCAGCCGCACAGACTCCCAGGGAGCAGAAAGCCCCCGGTCTTCCTGGGCGCTCCTGTGCCCACATCTCCCCTTTGACAAATTCCAGGAGAGGGTCTGAGTGTGGGCTGCATTCTCCTGGCAGTGGGTCTGCTCAGAACCCCTGAGAGAGCCGCGGTCTTTTGCTGTGCTGGCCACACAAAACATGCTGGGGCCGTGCCAGGTGGGAGTCCTGGTCACCTGAGGCCCTGCTCCTGCTTCTGAGTCCTTCTTCACTCTGATGTGGCTATCCTGGGACAGGCTTGTCCTCCTGCACATAGGCATGTCCACTCGAGTGTGGAGTGTGTCCCTGCTGCTGAGTGTGTCTCAGTTCTCTGCAGCTCCCGTGGAGACACCACTAGGGTCTGGTCTTATCAGGCAGAAGTGTGTTCTCTCAGAGGTTAGTGATTCTGGCCTCGTGGTGAGGAGTTGTGCTGCCAAAGGCAGGCAGTTCAGACCTTCCAGCTGTTCTGCAGGAGAAGGATGGGCGGTCGCCTCCCGTGTGACTTACAGCCTCTGAAAACTCGCTGGAGGGTCAGCTGGGAGTCAGCTCCAACTCAATGGCACATGGCAAAACAGCAGCGTAGGTCCCAAGTCCAAATTAAGAATGCCAGCTGATAAGGAAAGTCCCTGTTTGCAGAGGTTTGTTTGACCAGGTATTCCTTGGAGCTCTCCCTGCGTCCACTGTCAAGGAACCTTAGTGCAGGAGCCCCGCTTCAAAGACTAGATTGTACTACTGCTGATCCCTCACAGAAGTAAGACCTCCTCCCCTGGGCTCGGGGCCTCCCTTCCACGTTTGTCTCTAGTGAGATAAAGGTGTAAGAAGCCACACTCAGGAAAACTTAGACGCAAAGGCCTTGCGGTAGAGTCAAACTTACCTCATAGCTGGCCCTCTGGTGGGTCCTCAGAGGCTGTGAATCTGTGGGAAGATCACCCTTCTTTCTCCCATGGAGCAGTTGGTGGATTCCAACCTCTTGCCTTTGGATTGACAGTGAAACTCCCTACCCACCGGGTTAACAGAACTCCCTACAGCCCAGGGAGACTGCTCTTATATCTGATGAGAACTGCTAGCGATTAAGGGGTGTTACGGTCCAGCCTTAATCTTTTTCTAGCTATTTGGCTTATCAGCTCATAGGGGATCATCATCATGACATTGTGCTCATGTACTTGGGGGACACAGCTTAATCTACAGCAGGTGGAGACAATTTACCCTTGTTTTTTAAAAAGCTTACTGGGTGTAGAATTCAGGGTTTACACTTCCTCTCAGTTCTCTGCCCTGTTCCACTGCCTTCTTGTGTATACTGTTCCCAGGGAATAGCTGGCTGTCATCTTTATTTCGATTTCTCTGTAAGCATCTTTTCCTGCTTCACCTCCTTTTAAAGACTCTACTGCTGGTTCTGACACATGCTTACGATGGGCGTCGGTGTGGTTTTCTTCACACCACTTGTGCTTGAGTTTGCTGACCTTCTTCAGTCCGTAAGTTTAGCATTTTCTTAATATTTGGAAAATTTCCAGCCATCATTTCTCCAAGCACTTTCTATCTGCCTGCTCACCTCTCCCTCAGGGCCCCTTGAAGTCTTTTTTTAAAAATTTTATTATTTTTGTGAGTGTACCATCAAATCAGATCTGACTGATACAGGAGGAGATTGTTCCTCCTTCCCCCGGCAAAGCATCTGGTGGATTCGAACCGTGCGCCTCTGGGATTGTAGTTGCAGCTCCTTTCCACTAGGCCACCAGAGCTCCCCTCCCCTTGAAGTCTTGAGCTCATTGAACTCTTTTCATTCCTTGGGATCCTCTCCGCCCCATGTTTACTTGTGGGCATTTCTACCACAGTGTCAAGTTCATGAACTTTCTTCTGCAGCATCTAACCAGCCAATGTCTTTTTCACTTCAAGCTCCTTGTTTTCATTTATGGTGTTGCAGGAAGATGCCACCTGAACACCTGAGTTGTAAAGATGAAGGCAGAGTCTTGGGGGGGGACAAACTGTCCAAAAGGGCCAGGTTCCCCAAACAGCTTTGTTCTGGCTTTTTCCAGGAAACACAAGGGAACGAAGAGTGCCACCCCCTCTCAGGGCGGCTTTACAGCCTCACGCTGCCCTCTCAGCCTCAGTGGGAGTTACAGTCTTAGGGAAGTAGCGGCTTGTGAGTTTGGAAATGCCCAGGTTATGAATATTTCACAAGGTCACAGCTTCTCTGGCTCAGTAGAAAAAGAAGGTGTCACTGTCTTCACTGATGTGAAGTCATAGTTTTTAGGAAACACTCTGGATGCACTTTTCCCATGACAGATTCATTTATCATTTTGGCAGACCATGGCATAGTGCCATAATTCACACCATAATTCAAAGGCATCAGTTCTTCTTGGATCTTAGTCATTGTCCAACTTTCACAAACATTTGAAGTAACTAAAAATACCATGGTTTGAGCCAGGCACACCTTAGTCTTTTTTTAAAAAATAATTTTTATTTGTTTGCATACAATAATTTGTTTGTATTATATTTCATCTGTGTACATTATTTGCGTTTTCCCCCCACCCCCTCCCTCCACTCACTGACCCCGTGATTTCGCTCCCTTTCCCACCCTCAGCTCCCCTCTCTTTCCCCTTCCCTCTTTGGATATCCATACATATCTTACTGGGTATCCTTCTATTTTTGCAATAATGGCCTTGTACAGAATTTGTTCTTATGTGCCTTATTTAGTTCACGCAGCATGATGTTCTCTAGCCTTTCCAGTATCATACAGTATTTCCCAAAATCATTGCTCCTGAGTGCTGCATAGTATTCCATCATGTGATTGTACCACTGTTTATCAATCCAGTCATTTGTTGATAGAAGACCTTAGTCTTTAAACTGACGGCCTTTCTCTTGAACACTTTAAAGTGGTCCTGTGCAGTGCAGCACAGCACAATGCAACAGGTAATTGGATTTCTTGCCTGCTTCCACCATGGCACTTGGTTACAGATCCTAGTAAAACTGACACCTTCTGTCTTTTCTCTGTCATGATGATGCTTATTGGCCCAGTTGTGAAGGCTTCAGTTTTCTTTTTTTCTGTTTTCTTTACATGTACAGCCTTGGAAACTCTCTGTTGCATTGTACACTGTAGGGTTCTAAAGAGTCAGCATCCACTGGTCACAGTGGGGTGGGGTCCATGGAAAAGGCCCCTGAACACAGGTGGCTAGAGCCTCAGAGCCCCCACTGCCCAACCACTGCCAATTCTCTGTCCTCAGGGCCCATGAAGGAAGCAGAGCATCCCAACACAGCCTCCTCTCAGCTGCCTCCATCCAGGCTGGGCCCTTGGAAAGATAAGAAGATGCAAGAGGGCCGGAATCAGGTACCAAGAGAAGTTCCCAGAGCTCAGTAGAGGCACTGGCAGTGGGCATGAAATCCTGCTTTGAGGGTCTCCCTGTGGGTCTCCCTACCCTAGAGGGCTCTGCTGCTGGCCTCCCCCTAGGCGTTACCTACACTATGGACTGGCAGTGACCCCGGCCTAGTCCTCCAGGCCTGGGTCACACAGCAGAGCTGCAATCAGGCCTCATTTGAGAGGAGTATCCAGTAGAGAAGGCCCAGAGGGGAGGAGCAGGTGCTGGCTGGAGGGTCATCTGGAGGCCATGGTCCCACTCGAATGGACTTGGCAGTAACACACGGCCACTCACCCCGCCAGGGCTTAGGGCTGAAGATGCTGGAGCAGAGCCTGCAGGAGGAGGAGCTGCGCGCCCAACACCAGGCTGCACTGATGCGCCTGCGCGAGAAGGCGCTGGAGGAGAAGGCGCGGGCTGAGCTGGAGGGGCTGGAGCACCAGCGCAGGTGAGGGCACGTGCGCCGTAGGCCCCGCCCCTGCCAGGCCCCCCCCCCGCCCCTCCCGACAGGCCCCGCCTTCATTCCGAGCCCCGCCTCCAGACCTGGCCCGCCCCCCGCTCACGACAGGCTCCACCTTCAGCCCGGGCTCCGCCTCCCGACAGCCCCCCTCCCGCCAGGGCCCCGCCCCCGCCACGACAGGCCCCGCCTCCCGACAGGGACCCGCCTCCCGATCGGGCCCCGCCTCCCTACAGGGCCCTGCCTCTTCAGTGGACCCACCTCTGGACTTGGGCCACACCTTTTTCCAGGGACCTGGATCTGCACTTGGGTTCTACCTCTTGGGACTCTGGTCGCCCTCTTGCCTGGGTTCTATTTCTGCCAGCCCCTAACTCCTGGACAACCTCCCTCCCCTGGTTCTGGTTCCACCTTTCCCCTCCCCCACCCAGGCATCTGGCTCTGTTCCTGACTCTGGCCCTGGCCTTGGCCTCGGCCTCTGTCCTGAATTAGAAGACCTGCCCTTCTCCTAAATCTGGAGCAGTTGCAGGGAGCTAAAGTGTAGTCCAGGGCCCGCCTTCCTTCTCCTGCTACCGCAGTCCATGATCAGTGTTTGCCCTTGGACCTCTGTGTCTGCCTCTAGCCTTGAAACAATTTTGGAGAATGAAGAGTAGCAATAAGCATCCTTTGCAGACTTTTAGATGACAGAAAATTCCGCGAAACCTGCTCGTGCTGGAACTCTGCCTTTTGCTCCCAGTTCTCTGCAGTCTTCACTCTGACTGTAAGCTCCGCTTTATAAGCACTTTACTTAGAGGAGAGCATTTGGATTTCCTTCGCTGACAGGTTTCCATGTTACATGTGTTCTGACTGTATCAGGCTTGTCGTTGAGCGCCATTCCAGAGGCAGTAAATCTCACTGGCTGGCCGCACATCCGTCTCCTCTGAGCAGCTCTGGATTCGGACTGGATTCCTTCAGGATTGCAGCCCAGTTTCTTACCACTGGTTCACCAGAGCTCCCTTTATCGGCTTTACTGCACAATAAACTGCTTTTAAGAGCACCCACAGCCCCTCCTCCCCCTTCAGATAATCTGCGGGAGTGTCCAGGCACCCGCCCTGCCTTTTGTGAGAGCCAGGTTGCTTCTTGGGGGCAAGGATTTTGGAACTCTATCTCACATACTTGGGCATGTTGCTAGGAGAGACCAGTCCTTGGAGAAGGACATCATGCTTGGAAGGGTGAAGGGTCAGCGCAGGAGAGGAAGACCCTGGATGAGATGGATTGACAGTGACTGTGGCAATGGGAGCAGGTCTGTCAGAGACTGTGAGGTTGGCTCAGGACAGGGCGAGGTTCAGAGCCACTGTGAGTTGCAGTCAGCTTGATGGTACCTGACACCACTATCATCATGCTTGAGCAGCGCTGGGGGACAGACAGGGCATGCCCTCCAGACATGGGGTCGATGCCCTCAGCCAGGCCCATAGCTGTCTCCCCACCCCTGCCCCTTTCTGTTCCCTGCTGTGGTCACTAGAGTGAGTCCCAGGGTGGCCAGGCGGAAGTTCCGATCCCAGAGGTGGAAGTGTGGAAGAGCTCGTTTTTTTAAGCCCAGTTCTTGCGGGTGGGGAACTCTCATGGCTGCCCTGTACTTTGAAAGTTTGTGGGTGGACACCCTGCTGCCCTTCTCAGAAGCCCCTCTGTTGGGACTGAGTCCCCAGAAGTGCTGTGAGGGAGTGGGGACAGCTTGACCTTGGTCCTGATGGCCTGAGCTGGGGCCACCCTGGGATTAAGCATGCGGGAGGACGGGCATGCCAGCCCCACACACCACTGGCTAAGCGTATCCCATTCCCAGGTGTCTGCGGGGCAGGAGAGATGTGACCACTCTGGCTGACTTGAAAGAGCAGGAGCAGAGCATCATGGACAAGCTTCAGCAGGAGCAGGTGACAGCCCTGCGGGGCCGTGGTGGGGAGGGCACAGAGGAGGAAAGCTCTTTAGTAGCCGTGGACACCCACCTGAGCTGCACAGGACCACCGCAGTCCAACAGGGGCCACACGGCCTCAGGGGAATGTGACCCTGGAGTCCTGGCTGCAGGTCACACTCAGCTTCTCACGCTGTGGCCTCAGGCCTCGCAGAACCTCTGTCCCCTCTTCTGGCAATGGCTCTTCCCGAAAATATTCAGGCGCTGTTTGTAGAGGGACTAGTTTGGAGGAAGGTTCAAGGCCAAGGTGTCACACACCCAGCCAGCCAGGGGTGGGGAGGGATGGGCACGGACATTGTGACACTTCCAGGAGGGACAACTGTGTGAGGGGCAGGCGCAATGCGCGGAGGGCTGCTCAGAAAGAGGATCCCGCTGCCCCTCACCCTGTTCTTCCCACCTGTGGGCCTTGCTGTGGAGGCTGCCCTCACCTGTCACCTACGCCCATTTAGAAGGAGCTCAGTTACCTGCGGAACCTGCAGCTGCTGGAGCACCGGGAGCGGAAGCTGCTTCTACAGCATCAGCGGGACCTGGCCTCCATGCAGCGCTGCACAGCGCGTCTGCAGCAGGAGCTGCAGGGCTGGCCCACACTGCGCCAGGTGGGTGCTCACCTGCAGCCCAGAGGGATGCTCACCTGCACTGAGGCTGGCCCACCCACATCACGTGTGTACTCACCCAGGCTGAGGCCAGTGCCACGCTGCGCAGGAACATTGTGGACGGCTGCTGTGTGAACACATACCCTAGTCAGGACAGCCGGCTGGGTGGGGAGGGGGCTCTAAGGACCAGGCATGGAGGGGCATTGGGGGCCGCAAGAGGGAAGGAAGCTGGGCAGACCTCTTCTGGGAGTGCCAGTGGTGGGCCAGCAGAGCTGTGACCGAGAGCTCCTTGGGAGACCAAGGGTGGCAGTGTCCCCTCCTTGAGCCTAGGCACTCTCCTATGTAGGTTTAGGGGACAGTGGTCTCAGGGTGACATAACCCTCCAGGCATGGGTCAGACTGTCTGCTTGTCCAGCTGGCCTGCAGATGGGTGAGCCCAAAATGCTGACCCCGGCTGAACCATGTGTCCTAGGCCTGGACTCAGCACCAATACCCTCAGCCTGGCCCGAGGCACTGGGTCACTGATGGGGGGTCAGCTCTGGGGTTCTGAGAAGGACAGGGCAGTATCACGCTCACCCTCACTGGTCCTCACAGAGCTCGAGCCCCAGGAGCAGCCCTCAGCCAGATAGGTGCATCCGGGCCGCGTGGCACCTCCCGACACGCAGCAGCGCCTCTGACCTTCACCCCCCCTGGAGCCTGCGGAGCTTGGCCAGCACACAGTGAGTTTGGGGGGAAGTTCAATGACACCTGGAAAAGTCTTTCCTGTGAGGGAGGCACAGTGGGCACTGGGCCTGCTGCTGGGGACCAGAGCTGCCAGCTCACGGAGAGAGTGTCAGCAGAGCCCCCGCTCTGATGCTAGCTGGAAGGGGGACCTAGTCAACGCCTTGCTTCACTGTGACATGGGGACGGGAATGTGACAGCATGTCACATGTGTGCAAACTGACCACCCCTCTCGGGTTGCTGTGGGCTGGCTCCAGTCTCCCAGGGACAACTGGACTCTATGGCCACTCCCTCCAGCTTATGACAAGAGCCCCTAGATTATGGGAGTGGTGGCTAGGTCCCACAGCCCCACAGGAAGAGGGCTTTGCATGTCTGTGGGGTCTTTGCTACTGCCCTGCCCAGGGAGGGACACGCCTGCCAGGCCCTTTTAATGACAGCAGCTTTCCTTGACCAGGGGGGTCCTGTCCCCTCATGCTGCGCCCTCCAGGACTGGCTGCTCGCAGGACTCCAATTGCTGGACCCCCCCGAAGCAGCCGGCTCGGGGTGGGGGTGAGGATGCAGGGGGTGACCTCCTGGAAAGCAGCAGTCTGTGCAGGGACTCCTGGGCAGCCTGGGGCTCACCACCTCGGCTCAGGGACCCCACCTTGTCCATGGGGGTATTTCAAAGCCTCCACTGAAGGCTGCCATGCCCCAGCCTCCCCTGAGTGGGGCCCCTCAATAAAGCAGAGCCTGACCTGTGCACACGCCGAGTTGCTGTTGATTAACAGGAAGGGTCTTTAGGAAAACTCCTGGACCCACTGTTAGCTTATCAAGTGAGGGGGATAGTCTCCCAAGGGCAGTCATCCTGGGCCAGAAGGGGTTACCACAGTTCAGCAGGAGTCTTAGGAAGTCCAGACTTCCTAAGGGCGAGCTGCGTTTGATTCCAGACCACTGCAGTCAAGGTCATGGCAGGACTTACTTCTGAAGGCCACGGCTGCTTTACCACAGACAGTGCATAGTCTCTGAAGGACCCTGCAGGGTTGTCTGTGGGGAGCTCCTGCCTCCCGTGTGTCTGGCAGTTGGAATCACCCTCCAGCAGCTCCCCGCAGGAAGCCAGGCTTCTTCAGTTGGAACTTACAGCCTCAGAGAGCAGATGGGAGGTCGTCAGGAGTCAGAGTAAACTCAGGGGCACAAAAGCCAGCCTGGGCACATGGTGCGCTCTGGAGGCCTCTGGCTGGCAGCCTGTCCGGTGGGCAGTGGCCTTGAGCCCGTTGTCCTGGAGTGGATCGGCCAGCTTTCAGAGGAGGTAAACCTGAACAGAGGAGACTGCCCACCCTCCTGCTTAGACGGTGCCGGGGGTCTGAACCACCAGAGTTGCACAGTTACTGCTTAGAAATGCCACAAACTGGAGAAGACGCTGTGACGAAAAGGTTAGAGGTCCCGGGAGGGTGACCAGAGAGTGGTGCAGGCACAGGAAGCGAGCACGTGTCACCAGGAGAACTAGGCAGCGTTGTCACCAACACCACCACTTGTAAGCAGCTCATTGCCCGCTGAGCGCAAGAGCCGGTGGGAGCGCGGAGGCCATCTGCACCGTCCCCAGAAGCCACCTGCACTGTCCCCAGAAGCCGGCCACGCGGCATTCATCCGCTCGATCTGGGCCACGGGCCGAGGTGCATTAGAAGCTGCTGAACACCTGGGCTGGGTTGGGGCAGGGTGTGTCGTGAGCACTGACCCCCAGGAGATGGAGGGGAATCAGCAGGGATGGGAGGCCCCTAGGACCTCAGCCTGAGACGGTGCTGGGCAGCGGGGTGGTCACCCTGCAGGTGTCCGTCTGAGCTGTCCTCATAACACGGGCTGCTTCTCCAAGAGCAAACAGGCTTCCAGTCATTGTTCAGACGCCATTCGGGGGGCACTGGCCGTCGGGAGCTGCACCGGGGCCCTGGGTTTGTCCTCTGAGCCACTGTCTGGTCCACACCCATAGGTGATTTCGGAAGGTAGCCTCTTGGAGTCCCCACTGGAGGAGAACAAAGCTACAGGGGGAGGGAAGGGTAACACTGCCATGGGTGCACATGAGAGCAGCAGAATGTTCTAGAACAGCTGGGCCCACAGATCCATGGCCTTCCCATCTGACTGCCTCCGTGAGGCTGTGCCTGGGGAGGGACTTCCTGCCGACCCAGTGGAGGGCCTGCTCTCTGGTCTCACTGCCCAGGGCTCTATGTCCCCGTGGTGACTGGAGCTCCAGGTGGGCCCTCGGCCTCTGCTGCAGCTCGATGGCCTGTACCGGTGGGTGGTCCCCTCTGGGATGGGGATCAAAGGCCTTCTCCCCACGCCCTGTGCTGGAGAGATGAACGGAGACACCCCACATGCTGCCACACCCAGGCTGCCCCTTTTGTGTGCATTCCACGGAGGCCCCACTGGGGACTTGGGTCTCAGCTCCAGAGGAGCCAGGCAAGAAGAACAGGCCTGTCCTCCTCCACTGAAGTCCTGACCACCCGTCACCACCACAGCTGTGCCCTGGAGGGGACAGGCCCCGGGGGGGGAAGCACTTGGTGCAGCCTCTCACACCTTCTGGACCTACCTTGCAGCCATCTCGCTGACCAGGCCACCATGTCACCCCCTCTGAATGGCCACCTGCTTCCTCCAAGGCCGGCATGGGGAGAGGACACAGCTGCAAATGACGGGCTGGACCCCTGGAGCCAGGGGGTGGACAGCCACAGTCACACTGGTGAAGGTAAGTAAACAGGGCCATCAACAGCGGGGATGGTTACACACTTGGGGACCCAGGTGACCCGGGTGCAGTGTCAGGTTCAGGTCACACTGCCCTTCCTCCTTGCCCACCGTCCCTGACTGAGGACTTGGTCCTGAGTCCGTTAGCTGGCAGGGACGAGGTGGGCCCTCCACAGGAGGCTCTTGGACTCACACGAGGCCGAGCACAGGGCCCTCTGCTGGACGACTCTGGCTGAACCGCATGCCCTGCTGGTGGCTCTTCTGTGGGTGCCCCTGCCGAGGGTGGGAGGGGTGCCTGTGTCTGCCCACCATTGGCACCAAGCATGTTTCCTGCATCACTTGGGTGGCCAGCGGTTCTGGAGGGTGGAGTGGCAAGAGTGTCCTTCCACCAGGCCTCCTGGGGCACAGCTCTCCTGTAGACTTGTGCACTGGCCAGTCCCTCTGTGCAGCACCCTCACTTCACCTGGGGTGTGTGATCATCACCCCATTTTGTAGACAAGAAGGCCAAGGTCAAGGCTTGGGAGTTCTGCACCTTGTTATCAAGTGCCCTTGATTTGTCCCCGGTGTCCCCCAGCCCCGCTTCCCACCACCTTTCCCGTAGTTTTCAGCTGGAAGAGTGTTGTGTCAGGACACAGACCCAGGAATGAAGCTGCAAGTTAGGGGGCTTCTGGATAGCACCCCTCAGGTCGATAGAGCTGCCCAGACCACCCTCCCTCCATCACCTGAGCACGAGGGTTGTGAGCAAGGTAGACGGCAGGCATCGTCCAGCTCTACGCATTTGGCCTTTACCTGTCACTCTGATTCCTTAGACAGGGTGGTCCTGGGCCCTTGTAGACCCGTGGTTTTCAGGGTCCACACACCGTTCTGGCCTTGGGAAGCTGGAGGTCTGGGAAGTCAGTTCCTCCGTTGTCCCAGGCTGGGCCAGGCCTGAACAGCTCCTGCCCACTATGGTCACTGCAGGTGGACAAAACAGCCTCCTACCGGCCACCACATTGAGGGGGGAACACCAGGAAAGCGGATATGTCTTGCAGGGTTTCAGCACACGTGGCTATCCTCTCCGTGATGGTTTGGGAGCGGATTGCTACACATCTCCATGTCTTCATACTTATACTGGGCCAAAGGTTGGCGGTTCAGACCCCCTCACGTGCCTCAGAAGACAGGTCTGGCAATCAGCCTCCAAATAACCAGTCTTTGAC